GCTCAACAAATTAGGCAAAAGAAAATAAAGTCCTCCTACTCTGGGTGCCTGCTCACCAAGGGATAAAAGGCATTGAAAAAGCGAACGATCTAGCTAGAAAAGGAGCAAATACTTCACTAACTGGACCAGAACCGTTCTGTTTTCCAAACGGGAACCAACTGAAAGCGGAACTGAAGAATCTGGAAGACTCCATCCGTAACTTGGAATGGGTATCCTCCAACGGTCTAAGACACTCGAAAAGTTCCTTAGAACTTATGACCGAGAAAATCAAAGGTCTTCCTTGATTTAAGTAAAAACAATCTTCGGATTGTCACGGGGTTTCTAACAGGAGACTTGTTCCTCAACGAACACCTCAACGTCTCCTCAACGAACACCTCAGTAGGCTGAAACTGAGAAACAACGGCGAATGCAGATTTTGTGGGGAAAATGGGGAAACACCAGAACACCTTATCACTGAGTGCGCCGAGACGACGACCATTCGTGCCATGAACCTTGGTACGTCTGATGTCGAGGATGGAGAGCTGGCCTCTGTGGAACCGTCTCAGATACTGGCTTTTCTTAAAGCCCTGAGACTGTATGATGGGTTATAACTCGTTATAACTCAAGAAAGGGGAACACACAATAGATCTATAAGGTCGCGGTGATTAACTCCCTCCTAAACATTCTACATTCTACAACCATAGATGTTATTTATTTTACAGTTGGTTAAGCTTCGTTGGCTTTAGTTTTTTTCCTATTGAAAGAAACAGATGTTCCTTAACCCTTAAACACCCGTACTTATTAATGTCAACGTAAATACCCAGGTATCCGAAGAACTCCATAACCGAAGAATTAAGTATGGAGTTAAACATGGAGTACTTATGGAAGAAATTCAATCATATTCAAATCTAGAATGCCACTTTATCTAAAGAAGAAATCATTCGACCAAGAAGGAAACGGACATTATACGAACACAACGCTCAATGGAACGAAATATGCTGGGAATAACCAAGAATGACCGTAAAACAATAGAGTGGATACGACAAAAGGCCCAGGTAATAGATGTCATCCACAGAATCAAATCTCTCAAGTCGCAATGAGCAGGACACCTGGCAAGAAGGACGGACAACAGATGGACCACAAAAATTACAGCATGGTACACCAAACACTTTTACTTTTCGCAACCCACAAGGAATTAAGAGACCTAGAGGAAGACCAAACCTGAGATGGGACCATGATATTAGGAAATTATCAGGGATAACTTGGGCTTGTATAGCCAACAATGGGCCCAACTACAAAGAAAGTATCTAAACATGTGAGGGAGGCTACACTATAATTTTAAATGGTTGAATAAGCTGAGAATGGCCAGATTCAAATGATTTATTTTGGCGCAATTTAACTTTAAATAATATACTTTTACGGGATTTCTTGATAACAGTAATAAAAATTATGAATATTTTAACATCATTATACAATAAATATAAGAATAAATATAGGGTGATTCACTGTGATGGCACGTTAGACGTTTATGAAGAACCGGTGATACATTTTTTTATGAAAATTTGGATTTTTACATAAAGGCACCTGCTCCATCTTTCTTATTTTTAATCGAACACCCAGTATATTATTACATTTTTAAAAACTACTTTTATATCTGATAATTTTTTGATTATACTAACTTATACCTATATCTAATAGTTTTAAGATAAAACAAAACATGTGTAAAATTGACAAAAACATGATCGTGAATAAGCATTGGTAAAATAATGAATTAAACATTTTTAAAGCTGAAATTTGGGGTATACGAGTAAGTTAACGAATTACCGTACCTACATCCGTATTTCCGTACCTACATCTAGTGCCGTTCTCGTAAGGAAAACACATTTTATATTTTCTTTATCTATTTAATTGGTCAATAACAGTAGTTTTCTCAAAATCGACACAATCGCCGATTTTCAGGATTTGTTGGCAAAATATGATCATTTGAAAAATGTTTAATAAACTTTTACAATGCATAAACACATTAATATAATATCGGGAATACTGCAAAACTGTTAATAATTTAGAAACGCTTTTAAATACAAACAAATGTTATTTTTCAATAATGTACAGAGTATCGCATTTAAAAAAAAATTGAGATAGAGCATTTTAAATATTGCTGTTGGCAAAGCCATAAAAAATACCTTGCACAAGATAATGTGAGTTCGCGGATTTATTTTGATATCCTTGGTATTTAGGAAAATATAGCTAAGTATTAATAAAGTTAAAATCGCTCCACGTTTTAACCACTTTTCATACTAAAATATTAATTATTATAAAAACGTGAAAAACCTGATTTTATGAAAATACAACATTTCAAATTGATTCCCAATCTCGAAAAAATATTCTCATTACTCTCCTTCACCATTAAATCATACCACTGACTATTTAAGTCTGTGCTCGTTCCTTTTAAGCCAACCATACCAACAGGTATGGTAGGCTATTAAGATCGGCAAAAAAAAAGTTTTTTAATTTCACTCAAAATGAGTTATTTGGGTCATAAATGACCTAAATACAAAATAATTTCGTGGTTCTGTCTGTCTGTTTGTCTGTCTGTAACACGATAACTCAAAATCCGCTAAACCGATTTTAACCAAATTTGGCACAAAAATACTGTGGCACCCGAGAATCTGGCCATTAGTTTTTGGTGGGGTGGGAGGTTGGTAAGGGGGTATGGGAGGAGGTTAAGATTTTAAAAAATCGTAACTCCAAAATTACAGTAGCTAGCGAAACGCGGTTTTCAATTTAAGATTAGGAATATTTGCAACAAAATTTGTAATAACATCAAAATCAGTCTAAGTCGCAGTTTTGAGATAAAAAAAATTGGAAAAATTCCTTTACTGTGAAACTAAAAGAACTGCCTACCAACTTTTTATTAACATATTTTAGTATGGGCGGCTATATGTGCCTTCCGACGCCAATTTTTTTATTTCAGCACATTAACCATTATTTTGTAATGTTTAATTTTTATTTTTATATACATACTAGCTGACTCGGTAAACGTTGTTTTGACATAAAAATATTTTTTTATGGGACAACAGTCATTTTTATTCACGGGGTTGAAAATTATTGAATTACTACTACCGCTACTAAAAAATAGAGGTTAATGGTAGAAGGGTGAAAATTTAGGGTTGAATGTAATTTTTAAAGCGGCCCTCACACGATCAATAATATTGTCAATGTTTTTTATTGTCAATATTTTATCAATATTTGAATGTTGGCCTGACACGGTTAATACATATATCAATATTAAGTTTTGTGCAGATATTAAGTGTGAATTATACCCTATGCCAAAAAATTAAAGATAAAAAAGCGTGTCATTTTGGCAGTGAGTGTCAGTCAGTGAGAAAAAATAGAGGAAAAAATTTAAAAAAAGACGTTATATAAAAAATGGATATCCAAAAAGAAAAACTAAATCTTCTAGAGTACGTTAAGAAACGGGAGTCTGATGATTGCGATCTAAAACTGGAGAAAACAACGACGGCGATGTTCCGTCTTCCGCCATGGTTACGAATAAACTAGTCAAATTTTGTCAATCATGCGACCTAACGATCAATATATTGTCAATACAACTAGCTCCGCCTTTAATATTGTCGAGTATTTTCAGGATCCCGAAAATCCATCAATATATTGAAAGTACATCAATATGTACGCTCAAACGCTCAATAATATTGTCAATAATCAAAAATATTGACAATATTATTGATCGTGTGAGGGCTGCTTAAGGCTGTACTTAAACTGCCGTTAAACGGTAGCTTACTAAAATGCCGTTAATAGGTATGACGTCGTTGATGTGACGCACTTGACGGCTTTATGAAATATAGAAATTTTATAAGGACTAACCAACGCTATCCACCCCACCAAATAACCAACTTAACCAACGCAACTAACCTCGACACTGATAAAAAAATATAAAAAACAAATATAAATTAGTAAAAATCAACCAACCCCTCCAAATAACCACGCTAACCAACCCGCCAAATAAATAAACCAATCCAAATAAAAAGAGTGAAACCAATGCAATAAGATCACGCTATAAGCAAAAAAAATATAAAAAAGTCTTGGTCGGCGTGAGATTTGAACCCGGACCATTCGCTTATGAAGCGATAGCCTCAGCCACTGACCCACAGGTGCTCTTGCAGAAAGTTTAAGGCTAGGCATTACTTTCCGCCGACATGAACGACGTCACAATATCTATTAACGGCATTTTAGTAGGCTACCGTTTAACGGTTGTTTAAGTACATCGATTTTTTAATGCCACATCATAAAAAACTTAAAATAAAAAATTTTGTCCAAAAAATAAAAAAAAGAATAGGGCGAACAACCTATTCTCGTCATGTCATATTGTCTATGTCACATGTCAACTTTTGACATTTTCGCTTTCATCATAATTTTCAATCATAGAGCGTCATGGCTGTGTTAAAAATATTAATTTTCAATCAAGGAACCTTAGAAAAATAGATTTGATCGTCTAATGTTTTTCCTACCAAGTCATGGCCGGTTAAAAGATGCCCAAATCATATTTAATCATATCTCAATTTTTTTCAAATGTAACGAGTGTGGTTCATTAGCATATTTGGAAAAAACATTTTTCACAATTATTGGTATTTCGAATCAAATTGTCGTTATGAAATTCATGCTACAATTTCAAATAAACCATATGCGAAAATGTCAAAAGTTGATATAATATGGTATGTCATTTTCTATCAAATAAAGTAAAAAAAATACCGAGTGTGTCATTTAAAAACCAAAAGTTGTAGTTATTTCCGGTGAAACTGGAAGTGACTGAAAACAATTGAAAATGTTAATCAATCCCGATTTATGTCATATACTAGCGTACTACGTAAAAAAATAAGGATTATATTAATATAAATAAAAGTTATAGGGGCGAGCCACTTATGAGAAACACCCAGTAGAGAAATCATTGCTCAATGTACTATATAAATATTTCTACAAATAAAAATATACTTCGTTTTTCTTACCTCCGCCATAATTCCTATTCCTGTTATCTAAATTTGATGGTGGTGGTATATTTGCATACTGACCCTTATTTTCTCTAGGTGCATAGTGACTCAACATTCTATGACCCACTGGATTCAAATAAGCCCTAAAAATATATTTTATTTAAAATAGTCATCTAAAACAATAATGACAATTAACTGACCTCTGCGTAGCTGGTGCCATTCCAATTTGAGACCTCCAATTCCTATTGGCTTGCGGATCTAAATCTTCAGGTTTGAGCACTCTAGGAGGATCCTTGGCACCTTTTAACTTTCTTGCCTGGAAAATGAATCCTTTGCTGTATTTTGGATCTCTGAACCTAACACAGACTACTTGATTTTCGTATAGTGTAGGCAGACCTTTCACTGGGGATGTTAAGGACGTCCTAGAAAAAATATTAGTGGTATTAAATAGGAGAATACCATAAAAATTACCTAGAGTGGCAGCATCTAAAGATGGTGCCAAGCACAAAATGTATTCCCTTATATCTGGTCTATATATTATTGATAATATATATATTTTTTATTTTGTCTAGAAATCAAGATGAATGCTGCAATTAATAATTAATAATATTGTTTGGGAAGAGCAAAAAAATGGAAGAAACGTTTAAACGCCCAATCCTGGTTATCTTTCACTTTTGTTTCGCTGTAATCTCTTTTATAAATTTATCTTAAATTGTTTTTATTTACTAAATTAGTATTTACTAGATTTAATAAAAAATAAAATGTCATATTAATAAAACAGCTAAATAAAAAAAATATTTTTTCTATGCATTAAAAAATTCTACCAATTGTACAAATAAAACTGTCAAAATATGTGACTTCAAGACCACATTGACACATAGTTCAAAAGAGCTGACACCTCTGGCTGACACTTAGTATCTATCATAGATAAATGCAACAAGTTTAGATTGGAAAGCCCGTAAAAATTTTGGGTCGCGAAATTATTTTGGGTCGCGACTAGTGTTGGGAAAATTCGAATTAAATAATACGACTAATTCGATAGTAAATTAAAACTAACTAATTCGAATTATCTTTTTCGATATATCGAGATAAAAATTATTAGTATTTTAAGGTCGATTTATAAACTCTAGAGTTGGCTTTGGATTTGGCGTTGGCGTTGGATTTGCCGTCGACTGTTCGTAGCGCCGCAAAATCGCATTTATAAACTCGACGGTTGACAGTTGGCTTTGGCCGTTTTGGGCAGATCTAACCTTACATTTTTGTTTACTTTTTACTTAAGAGTAGCAGAGTCTATAGTGCGTTTTTAGAGACGAAAGTGTTTAAAGTTTTGGTTTTTGTTCGAGATTTTTAATTATGGATTTGGAAAGTAATGGTCTTGATGAAATTACCCTATTAGGGTTATTGAGAGTGACCATAAATTTGGAATTAGCATACTTCAAAACTAGATGTAAACAAAGCAACACGTGATCGCTCTTTACTATTATATTGGCTGTAACGTCATTTGCTACGTGGAAGCTACGGACGGCGAACCGCCGCGAATGGTAAAAAAGTTAAACATAATTCAAGTCCGACGGCAACCGGGCGCCAAAGCCAACGCCAACCGTGTTTATAAATGCTCTTATGGTAATATACAGTTTTAAGAATTGGGCGGCGGCGCCAACGCCAAAGCCAAATCCAACTGTGAGTTTATAAATCCTACTTTATATTATATCTGTGGTAACCGAATTACAAATGAACATAAAACATAACCTCTTATGGACAAATACGAATATTAGTAATTAGTATAGTACTATTAGTAGTATTCTTTCGTTCTGAACGAACTGAAAATTTTCACTTAAACTGATTTATAAAGGGAATCGGCAAAGAAAGGAACGATCCGATATAGAAAAATCCAGAAATCATTGTTATTTCCTATACCATGTAGGAATAAATCAGTTTAAGTGAAAATTTTCATTTCGTTCAGAACGAAAGAATACTACTATTATTTGTATACTATTAAATTTAACCGAACACCTGCCAAACACTAAAATTAATTTTCTTCTTTTATCTAAATAATTATTAATTGCAACTGATAAAATAAAAAGAAATACGAACCGCACGTAAACAAGGACATACTTATATCGTTTTAGAAGAAGCTTTTATTTTAGATATGAGCTTTTTTCAATAGGAATTGAAACAATCATAAACTCGGCACTTTTAAATTTAAAACTTTAAATTATGGTTTAATTTATTAAACGGCTTCGGCACAGTTAATAGAATACATTGAATAAAGAATTTTTTTTTATTTTTTATTCAGTGATAGGCAATGGTTCAGATTTGTTTAAAATAGCCCCTAGACGAGCACTAGCTGGGACGAATTTATTTTTAGGTTAAATTTATAATACTACTAAATAATTCGAATTATTAATTCGATTGTGAAATATGAATTATTACTAATTATTCGATGGTGAAAATAATTCGATTATTCCCATCACTAGTCGCGACCGTTATACGCGATCTGGCGCTGCTATAGCGGTCGCTAAGAACAACGGCAAACAAAAAACAGAAATAATTTTCTCTTGTCAAAGTCAGAATCTTCAAAAATCATAATAATCTTTCAAAATCTAAACCGCTCTCATTAAAGAAATTCCGAAAAGTGTTCAGCGTTCATTTTCAAAGTAATAATTGCTATCTTGTGAGTTTAATTTACTCCAACCGGTGATAATTGTGAAAAAGTGGCATTAAAAACTTAAAAAGCTGTGCTGTGAACTGTGAACTGCAAAAACCATCGTGGATCGTGGTATAACGTTGGTTTCCAATGTTTGAAAACGATTGATATGAAAAATACTACTACAAAATTTAATTTTCTGTGTATATCATAACTTACCCTTTTTGAAGACATTCTTCAGACAACAAAACTGTTCCTTTCATACCAGCAATTAAAACAGCAGATTCCATATTCATGTCAACTTTAGTATTATACATGCCAGATAATAAGTCGTAAGATTCATTCTGAAATGACACATATAACCTGTCATCGCCTCTGATATTTCTCTTCCTTTCAGCATCAGTTAATTGACCATAGTACGGCTCTAAAGCTTTAAACAGTCTTGTTTCATCAACAAAAGGCAAAAGAGCAACTCCCTGCCAAGCAAACTTTTTACCATTTAAGTCAATTTTAAAGTCTTCTGGATAAAAATCAATTATGTCAGATTCCTGAAAACAATTTATTATGACATGTAGTTAAAACATAAGAAAATAATAAAACATACAGTGTCAGACATCAGTTTTGCCCAAGGTTCTGGAACATGTTTGCTACTAGCTGCTGGAAAAACACCCATAAGTTGCTCTAGAGGATTAAACTAAAAAATTAAAAAACATAATATAACACAACGTAAATCAGACAAATGTCAGTCATATATTCTTTTACTGAACAGACTCTACACAGGTCCCATTCCCTTGTACTTAACTACCTAACGATAAAATATCAACAATATACAGGTTGTTAATTTGTTCATTACTCGCGGCAAGAGCTTTATGGTTGAAATATGGCAACCTCGGCCCGCTCGTCGATAGACGACGCAACGGGACGGGTCGGTAGAAAAATCAATAATGCATGCCTTCTCAATAGGCAGTGTTGCCATTCTGTTCCCCTTTAAGTAACTGTCGAGTTAACAACCTGTATAATAATTACTTACTGGTTTTGTATCAGCTTCAAATTCTGTACTAAGCCCAGCAATGTTACAAAAGTCTGAAGCAAATGGGGCATAATGATAAGGATAATACCATTTCCATGAAGCACAGCCTTGATAATAATATCTTAAAACCCAACAAAGACCTCTAACATAATGCAGAGCCACAGAATATCTGTAAAATATAATTTGTATTATTTAACAACAACAAACATTAAACTGATATAATATTTACCTAAATTCCAGGTTTTTGGGGCTTACGTCAAATTTTGATTCATAATAGCGATCTTTGAATCCATCTTCCCACAATCTGACTTCATCATGTGTTTCTTCATCACTTTCTTCTTCTACTTCATCATGTGTTCTTTTTTGACCTAATAAATAGTTTCACAATAAAATATTTTTTTTTTGTAACTCACAAATAGAAATGTAAAAAAAAATAATTATTTACCTTGAGGTACTGATCCTTCCTTCCTAAACATGGATTCTAATGCTGTTTTAGAATTAACTGTTTGTAATTTCGAATCAGTATGCATTCCAGCTTTTCTTATTTGAAATGCTTCTTGTCTAGCATTAGAAACAGCTGATTGTTGCCCAATTGCCTTGAATTATTAATAATTAAACTAAATTATAAGACTTGAAAATAAAATGATTTACTTTAGGAGCAAACTGCGTGTTATTGAGTAATGCAAAATTAGGTTTATATTCATTAAATCCATCAGATCTTCTCCTCTTAGCCTTCTCCCTTGCTTTAAATTGCAGTTCCCTTTGCTGCCGATTCTTGAAAATTTCATCTTCAACCTTGCCTAATGCTAACATTATCATTTGTACTCTTTCCAAATTAACGTCACCACTGTTTGTTAAATAACCCTATAAAGCACAGTAATACATTCTCAAATTTCATTGTTTTTAGAGCTACTTACACCTGTTTTGTATACACAATCTTTGTATAATTTAATTAATCTGTCAATGGCATTTTCTCTTATTTCTAAACTAGGCAAATGAGGTAAGAAATCATTTCCCACAAAGAAACACATAAATACCCAATCATCGAGTACTCTATCAAATTCATATTTAAATGGTAAATTTATCATAACAAGTTCTCTTTCTAAATATTCCTTTAAAACACTTAATCTTACAAATATAAAATCTGTTTCAGCACTAACAGGCATTTCAGGTTCTTGTCCATGCTCACTTAAAACTCCACCTATACAGTCTTTCATTTCATGACCTAAAAACAATACACAGTAAAGATATGAAATATTTATAAAAAAAAACATATAATTACCAACTTGGCCACAAATCTCACAAGGCCTAGGTTTATTAGGTCTAAATTCTTCCCTAATTATCGTAAAATTAGGTTCATGTGTAGCAAGGCCTAACATAATTAAATCAGCATCTGCCCCACAGAGAACATGTTGAGTGTTGGGATCATGATCAGGTTGTGCTCTCTGTTTTCTAATATAGTCCATAATTTTATGCTCACCCTCACCAGGAACATTTGCATCTGATAAAATTACTTTAATACCCTTCCATCCTGGGTCATTGTTCAACCTGTCATGGATATAATAATGCAGGCACTCGGATAACCTTGCCATAAAAGGAGTACCAGGTGTTATACAATTTGAATCGAAATGCTCTTCTTTAGGCTTCTCAGGTGGTAAAACACAACCTTTCAATAACAATTCTGCTCTAATTCTTTTTATTTCGTTAATTTTTTCCGCAGTCTCTTTAGACGCTCGAAAACGCCTAGATCTTTGTTGATTCATCTTAGCTCTTGGTGCAACACCATCAATAGCCATGTAAAGAACCTTTCGTGGCCTCACAATATTAAACAATCTGTCTATACACTCAAATATAGCAACCATCATTTCATCTTCGTTTTTGGGTGCCGGTCTATCTTCTGGATGAGTACAAGGATGTATTATACCATTCATGTCCAAATATAAATTATCAAATTCAACTCCATTTGGATTAGGTTCTGCCGAATTAGTAGGAATGCGTGTACCATTTACATCTACGCTCTATAACAAAGATTAATATAACATGTTTTCTAAATTAAATAATATATTACCTTCTGTTCCACACAAGGTACAATTACAGAAGGATATTTTCGGCTAAGCCATCTAAAAAAAGCTGGAACACCCATTGTCTAGTAAGACTTGAACTTTAGTAATTAACATATAATTTTACAATTATGTTATTTTTTAATATTTTCTGAAAATATATTAAATGTTTATTTTGGATTAAACATGATGGCTGGCAAATTGAGTTTGGAAAATAACCTACAAAAACCAAAGAAAGAAAATTAAATGACATTAGCAGGTGTCAAATATTGCCAATATAATGCGTATTTACAGGGCAGCCATTAGACAAATACGAAAATTTAGTTTTTATATGTTTTGTGACTTGGTAGCTCTGATTACTTGAATACATACCACAGATCCAGTATTGTTTATACGTGTCTATTTTTTTGTTCTTTTCTGTCATCTTTGTCATCAAATCATAGATAAAAGAAGTTCTTGGTTGTTGAATTGAAAAATGAAATTAAAACTAGATTGTTTTTAAAGTAATTAGTAAAATATTTAACTGTATTCTACTAACATTTCCTTGTACATACCGTAGTTTGTTAATTTCGAACGTTAATCCAGAAGTGCATTCCATTCCAGACAGTATAAAATGGCTTCAGTAGATAAATATTCAATTTTATTACCTACATACAACGAAATAGACAATCTTCCTATAATAATATGGCTAATAATCAAAAATATGAATGCTAGGTATTCTTTAGTTAACTAGGTATTGAATATTTTATTTATGTTCTTTTTTTCTAGTGGTTTTTCATATGAAATAATTATTATAGACGATGGAAGTCCCGATGGTACCTTAGAAGCAGCTCAACAGTTACAGAAAATATATGGTGAAGATAAGATTGTTTTAAAACCAAGAGAAAAGAAACTAGGGCTGGGTTCGGCTTATATACATGGCATAAAACACGCAACAGGAAATTTTATTATCATCATGGATGCAGATTTAAGTCACCATGTGAGTTTATTCGTGACTGAAAGTTTTAATTCTGAAATTGTTTTGTTGTAGCCAAAATTTATTAAGGAGTTTATAGAGACACAAAAGTCACATAACTATGATATAGTAACTGGCACAAGATATAAAGGAACTGGAGGGGTACATGGATGGGATTTTAAAAGAAAATTAATTTCTCGTGGTGCTAATCTATTGACACAGATACTTTTACGTCCAGGTACTTATTTATACAATTTTTAAAAAAATAATAATTTTATATATTTTTTAGGTGTTTCAGATTTAACTGGATCTTTTCGTCTTTATAAGAAGGACATTTTGGAAGATTTAATTAAAAGTTGTGTTTCTAAAGGCTACGTTTTTCAAATGGAAATGATTGTAAGGGCGAGGCAAAAAAACTATACAATAGGTGAAGTACCAATTACATTTGTTGATCGTGTGTATGGAGAATCAAAATTAGGGGGCTCAGAAATAGTACAATTTGCTACAGCTCTCCTATATTTATTTGCTACAACCTAAGAAATATGTGATATTTTATATAAATATACATAAACAATATATTTGATAATGAATAATAAATTTAGTTATTGAGTGTCCCCTTTTTGGGTATGGTACCTATTATACCTAATTATTTGTCCTAGTTTATAGTTTTCACATTACATATGAAGAAACAAGTTTTTATATATTTCTATATATCTATGTTATTATCAACTACTTTATCAACTATAATGTTCTCCCAGATTTTAAAGTCCCAAATGTAAATAATATCGCCCTAGGAATATCCCCATCATTTCTCCCAAAGACATCTAAATAAAGGGAGACAAAACAACTTACATTTTACCGCGATCACGAACCGTGTTGCACAAAAATCGATGATGACAGATTTCCCTTGCGCCTATAGATTGTAGTATTGTTGTTAAAAATGTTATTATTCTTATTAATGTTTTTTGGGTACGATAGATACGTTAAACTAAATTTAGGTCGCGAAATATATGGGAATATCCCCATACGCGATCTGGCGCTTATATAGCGGTCGCTAAGAACATATATAAATGAATAGATACGTATGATCTCTTATGATAGTCAGAATCATATATCGACCACAGTAATCTTTTCAAAATTTATTTGGGGTTTTAAATCAATTCCGTAAAGTGTTTACAGCGTCCATTTTCAAAGTAATTATTGCTATTTTGTGAGTTTAATTCAAGTTTTATTTCCTCAACCGGTGATAATTATGAAAAAGTGGCATTGAAAACTTAAAAGCTATGCTGTGAACTGCAAAACCATCGTGGATCGTGGCATAACGTCGGTTTCCAATGTTTCATAGGTATTTCATGCATGCGTCCTTATATAAAATAAAGTTTCTTGTATGCAACACAGTGTATTTATTTATAAAATTAAACGAAAATAATAATAAATTTGAATAAACAATATTTGGCGATATAATTCCGGAAAAAGCCGAACCGCTCGAAATTTTCAAAAGTTTTGGGTCGCGACCGTTGTAAAAAACACCACACCACCGTCACGCCACTGATGGAGCGAAATGACAGAAAGACAGACGAAACTCAACCGTGTTGTCATATTTATGTACCCATCTCTTTTTAACTCTCATAAAAGTGTCAAACCATGTATGATTCTAAAAAATTGAGTTTAATGAATGGAGTGTTCTGTCTACCTATATTTAGATGTCTTTGATTTCTCCCCTTTATATACGTCAGTATCATATATAAATGAATAGATACGTATGATAATCAATTATCATATATCAACCACAGTCAGGGATTTTCAAATTTATTTGGGGTTTTGAAATCGCTGGCCGTAAGTAATGCCAATATAAAACCCTCAATAAAACTATCTTTACAAGATTTTGATTGGACATGTTTTCGGAAGCATTCGACAAAAATCGAAAAGTTGATCATATGATTGTCAGTGGGTTGGTCTGGTTTTGCGAAGTTCACTCGTTCATTTAATTTTTCTAAACTATATCTTGATATTATTCCTTTCTGAGGAAATATGGCAAGTCAGACACAGGGAATTCAGCAATTGTTGGCTGCTGAAAAAAGAGCTGCAGAAAAAGTATCCGATGCCCGTAAACGTAAGTACATTTTTATGAAAAAACGAATCACAAGGTTTCCTTTGAATAAATAATCTAGGGTGCTGTTTAATGTTTCTCGTAGTTTACAAAAAGAAATTAATCTTTTATTAGATTTTTGTTTACGAATTTAGTATTTTTAGCTTCAATTTACGTATTTTAATTTTATGTAGGTTTTAAATCGAGTTTTAAGATGTATAATAAAACTACCTTCTTTTTGATTAGGTAAAGCAAGGAGGCTGAAGCAAGCAAAAGAAGAGGCTCAAGATGAAATCGAAAAATACCGCAAAGAACGTGAGCGTCAATTCCGTGAATTTGAGGCCAAGCATATGGGGTCGAAAGAGGACGTTGCAGCAAAAATCGATGCCGACACCAAAATTAGAATTGCTGAAATGAACAGATTAGTACAGGGACAGAAGGAAAAGGTAATTACTTTTGTTTAATATTATAAATAATATAATGTCATATGACTATATTTTATGTAATAATGTTGATTATAAATGAGTACTGAAATTTTTTGTTTAGGTAATTGAAGACATTTTGGCTTTGGTATATGACATCAAACCAGAAATCCACAAGAACTATCGCCAATAAAAAGATATAACCTGCATTTACTTAAATTTTGCATTTAGGCACTAAAGTGTATATGTAGATACTTAATGTATTATAAATTGTTCATTCCATTTTTAATGTATATTCAAAGTATTTCTTGTTCTGATTTAAGATGTTTATCTTTTTGAAATCTTCACATTTCTGTAATGGTGCATTTGATGCCTTGCTAGACAAAGAGTTTAAACCAAGGTTTGTTATAAATGTTGTATTTCTGATTTTTTTCAGACAAATAAAACTATATAAATATTTAGGTTGCTTTTTTTTATTAAATATTCTAAATTTTATAAAATAAAATAGTTAAAAACACTGGTCAGTGAGGTGGTTATAAGCTTCTTCAGACAATAGAAACACCATATTTTCACATTATGAAGTATGACAAAGTAAAATGAATACTGGCAAAGAATTGTTAACAGTTATAATAATGTATTCTACCACTTTATGCTCATATTAAGTTTTCTTAACTTAATAGCGGTTCCAAAAATGTTGTCCCAAGCCACACTACTGATTCCAAAACCTGCAATTTAAATAATGTACTATTAATACCTCCAATAGTCCCAAACTTCAGCAATAAATGGATCTAAAATATGCGAAAAAGAGTAATAAAATGCTCATAAGATTTTTAAGCTTTCATTAAATATAGTAAGCAGCTTTGAATAAAAAGATTTTTATTGATAGTTGAAAAGAAACCAGTGCGCTATAAATTTAAAAATATCCAAGGAACCATCGATTTATACGTCCGGTGTATATCTGGTTGTATAAAAGCCTTAATTTCTGTTAATATTTTGTTAAAATCTTAACATAATTTGACATAATGAAACGTTAGACCAGGGAGTTATAATATGAATACGTATTATTATTTTTTCTATATATTAAGGGGTATTCAACACACTCAAACATATCCAACAAAGTAGCATGGTGTATTTTATAAGTAGATATTTTGTTATCTAAAAAGTATCTGAAATCTGAAATATATAGGTGGCTATGGTGGCTATATTGTAATCCAAACATTTTTTTAGTTCAGCTTTTTATTCTTCTTGTCATTTACCTTTTTATGATATTAATTTTTAACGGTCGGTGTTATGAAAAGTTCTATTTGGAGAATTATTCGAGAAACTATATATTCGTAAACGAATTAAATCTTTAGTTTTAACATTTCAAATCGATATTTAATTAACCTTCCGCATATAAATACCTACCGCTATCGTGATGTGCAAAGTGATGTTGATTGTGGTACCTCTTCAGATGATAAAAATAGCTGTTCTCTTTTGGAGCACCATAATGTAAGTAAAAGTGAATCATGTCGTATATTAAATATCCTGAAAAACATAATATAGTACCTATTAAAAGAAATCTATGAATTATTTTTGTAAATTGTAACAAATTAATGAACATATTAGCACAGATATTAGACCGGAGGCAGGAGATATAATTTAAGTAATGAATAAGTGCGCGTTATATATAGAATCTACGTCATAATAGTTAGTGATTTGAATTATTAGTGGATCAAGTCAGGGACGACTATATTAGAAAAAAATAAAGTTCTTGATTGGATTGGATACATCTTGTTATCAAAATGTATTAGTCTAAAGACACTAAAGGTGCGTCCACTATACTCGCGAGCAGGCTGAACGACCACGTAAAACACGAACACGAAAGACATGGTAAGAAGTCAATGGGGATAAAAGATAAAAGGGACGCTTCGTAGCCGTGCGAGCATACCTATTTTAAGGCGGTTTGAAGCGCTCGAGTTGTTTGCGTTGTTTGTCTAGTTTTTAGTTTCGTTTCATTCATAGGATCCGTTATTTAATGCAGTATGATGTATGATGATGTAGAGTGAGTGGGAGGGCGGGGGCTAATCATTGCGACTTTAAAGATCTATTATGTCCCCCTTTATAACCCATCATACATGAGGATTTTCCCGTTGAAGGGAGGACTAGGTATTTCTCATCCTTCTCTGACAACAGATGTTCTTCCTCCGAGGGTATACACCCTGATTCCACGGTTGGGGTTTGGCCCTCCGTACCCTTCACAGTCGAGGAACTTGTTTCCGGCTGAGGTACACGCACAGAACAGATACAAATTTGTATCTGTTCTGTGGTACACGCACAGAACAGATACAAATTTGTATCTGTTCTGTGGTACACGTAAGATGGAAGCTGGACGATCTGTCTCCATTTTCTCCACCTCTTTAGCTTGGTTAGGACTTGGTTAGCTTTAGACCTGATACTAGTGTTGTCCCGAATCTATAACAGATAATATATATCCCTCTTTCTCTATTGCCTCCTTGGAGTTGAGATCAATTATCAATATATTATATTATTGAAATATTATCTTATTGTGAGGATCTGACCATGACCTTCCCCCCTCGAGTTGATGACTCGCCTACTCGATGTCCCTGATGCATTGGAGTTCTGAGCCTGGCCTATAAGGCTCAGCAGGTAGGTGGTGTGCCTTTCCACTTGCCCCTCGGCAGATAGACTGTGATGGCCGCCTTTTTTGGGATGTTTTCTCCCTTCACTGCAACCAGTCCCGGTCCTTGCCAATTCTTAAGCTTAGCATTTCGACCAACCAATCCACCGATTCTTGAGATACACAATCTATGAGGAGCATGCACACCCGAAAGTGTATCGCCGCAAAACGTAGCTGACCCACATGTTGTGGACTGTTGCGTTGAAATCTGCTCGCCACTTTGTCGGTGGTCAGTGCAACCTCTCTGGGTAATCCTTTGGCAGCACCGCCATTTTCACTTATCCAGCAATAGTGGCATAGCTGGTGATACGTCCCTGCTTGCCTCTCGTAGTGTTGGACGGCCCCATTCTGGCTTTTTTCTCGCCTTGTCGGAGAAGAGGTGAAAGGTTTTTCCTCCCTCTCTTATCCTTTGGTGGGGATGGTCTAGGTTGTTTGTTGGTTCCTCTACTCTCCCCTTTTTTAGGGAGTGTTTTCGCTTTTTCTTCCTCTGGAACAAGTTCTTCGTGGAGCAGTCGGAGGTATTTCCGTACTTCTGCTCCGCTAAGACCTACTCTCAGCAGAGCGTCTAATAATCCACCTGGTTGACACAGGCCGGGTAGACTAAATGGTAGCTTGTGTTGTCTAGTAGTTTCCAGACCCTTACTAGAGGAGGTGGTAGCTTGTGTGCCACTTGTGGAGGCTGGTTTCAGAAGTGTCAGCAGTCTCTCCTGTTGAGGAACCTCGAAGGGGAATTTGCATTAATAATATTCCTAGTGTTTCTAGGGGGTTTCCCCACAGCATCACCGGTGGTTTTTATTATGCTTGATTTCATATTGATCCCACGAGTAGTTAGGGTTAGTCGACCCACTTCTACAGAGCCTAGAATGTAGAAGTAAGGGGTGAATACAATGGGGTGTGCCTTTTGGTGCCCAAGGTTGAGACCAGAAGAAGCTAGTGTTCTATCTAGCCATGCATCTCTTTGACCTGGTCCCGCCATCGTAGGATTTTTTTTTTATGACCCTCTCCCATCACACGCTCTATCCGTGAGACATGACAGTAGAGTGCGCATTGTTTGACAGATAGGATAATCTCATCCAGCATCGTTATACGTCTTGGTGCAATTCCTTGACCTATTTGATCCAAATAAAGTACCAGAGGAAATTCCCCCTAGCACTTGACTAGGAGCTTCCCCACGAACAATCTCGCATCTCCTTAAGGAAGGCTGTATGATTATACTACCATGATTATTCTTATTTTTTTGTTTAGTTACAAATAATTGTTTTTTGTTGAATCACGACAAACAGAAATGCAAATAACGCAACCTCAATTAGAAGCAATAGCGCGAGCAGGATCAAGAGCAATGCTGACGCATCTTAAGAGCTAGCAACGTTTTCGAGAGAGAACTTTAAGAAAGCTGCATTTCGATTCTGTAAACATATTCTCTTTCTAGTGACTCATCAATCGCGTAAAAATATCATAAGCCAGGCAAGAAATGTCTTGCTATGGAGCTTACAGAATTGTACTGCTGGTTCTTTAATATATCTTTTGCTATGCTCTCTTGAACAGCGCGCGGTCCAACTGACTACCGGTACACGTTGCGTTTACTACTACGCATCATATCTGTAATAAAGGATGACCCATCTTTGAGTGTTTTATGGTATTTCTCGTTTTATGGTATTTTCTCGTTTTATGGTATTTCTCGTTATTAACGAGTTGAGAGAGAATGATGCAGTTTTCACATTACTTTGCTGCTTTTTTTATGAAACTAATATAAGCACCTTAAATTTGATAATTAATTTTAATTAAATAAAATAAGTTTGGTATCTCACGAGCTATTTGCAGTAATCCATATGACGAGGTTCTGTTTTAATCTTAAACCGAGTACAGACCTGACGAATATAACCATTCATTCGTATTATAGCCATTCGCACCTCGCACCATTGCTACCCGCTCGCAGCGAGTAGCATGATACATTTGAACGAATCTGTTTCTTTGGCTAAACATTTTTACTATCCAAACTCCAAACTCTTTCCCCGTCCTGAATTTTTACCGATACGTCCACACTGCAATGTTTTCAATCATTTGTAGCTCGCATTTTCTTTTATCTATTCACTTTTACCGTCAGAAGATGGAAAACATTCGTTCGCGCTGAAACCATTTGTCGTGACTTAATTCGCTGCGAATGCACGTCTACACCACATAAATATTTCCTCGCGAATGCGACCGAATGCGAAGAAATGGTAACATTCGTCAGGTCTGTGCTCGGCTTTATATTTAGCTAAAAATTGTTTGAAAGGCATGGTTTCTTGTTTAGAGCCAATAAATCGTCTACCTCACACCTCACATCTTTGTTACTGTAAACTAATAATAAATAATAATACAATATGATCGAAAAACAACAGCAATGAAGATTGCTGTAATTTTATGTGCAAAATTGTATAAGGAATATTATCGATTGTCATTTAGAACATTTTCATTGATTATTTTTCGGCCTAATATGCGGCAATTTTCAATGACTCAAGAATACAACTTAACAAGTATAGCTAGAGACGTGAGAAATATAAAATAACACGCGACCGGTGCTATCCCCAAGTCTCTTCCTATATTTGTACAACTGTACATGGGCATGTAACACCCATATACGGGCTTTTGGCTGCAGCAGAATTTGTTCGTTAGACGCCATCATTTTGGAGCCTACGGATGAGTAACCACCTCGTCAACAGCTACAATTTTAGCGATTTTAAATAATTTGTTGTGTGTAGTGAACATTGTATAAACTTTATTACAGTGGTGAAGTGTTCAGCCTTTCAAGTGTAAAAGCCGCAACGATAAAAAAAGCCAGGAGTTGCGTTTCATAAGTAAATAAACAGTCCACTACACCTTTTTAGCGTTTTCTTATTGAATTTGGTAATTATTTTTCTGATACTATATGTACTTGATATGTGCTATACGTCGATACTAGTTTTATATCTTTTGTTAACATTTTAATACGTTTTTTCTTAATTAATTAGTATGATACCACCGCCTACATCATAGGCGTAGTCAAAACATTTATCAAAAATATAAATATCCCTTCAAGCAGCTAAGTTAAGAAAAATATATGGCCACGGCACTGTTTGGAGCCATGGTAACAATTTGGTCTCGGGTGATATATATATGACCTTGTATTCTTTAGTTATTGGTAATTTTATTGTGTAATAAGCTATAAGCGATACCAATTAAACTTTTATTTACTTAATCGAGGGCGCGATTTTAAATTCATTGTTGGCAATCATGGACACATTTGGCGTCGGGCTGATTAACTTGAATTTAATTTCCCACTGGGGATTTCCGATGTCGGTGGCAGCTCTGCTCTAAAAAATGTCAAGTTGCCAGATTTATTTATTTATTTCTTGACATTGCCATTCGTTTCGACACTTTAGTTTTGTATTACGTGTTTTTGGTTTAAATGAATTGTGTTGTGATACTTTAAGCTTAAAAATTTTTACTAGCAGACCTTGCAGTCGAACATTGTTCTTTTTAGAACCCCTTTTAGTGCGAAGTGAACAAGATAGCTTATTAGCCGTTGCAAAAAACTCATCGCAACCTTATTAGAATATTTTGAATGGGAAAACAGTAGTAATCGGCCTTTATGTCCCTTAAGTACTGTTAAGGAGGAGAATTTTGTTGATGTAAATATAACTGTTTATACATTTATAATTTATTTATTTTTGTTTCCTAAAATATTTTTATTAATATTATTTTGATTAAAATATGTAAAAGTGGGCAACGCTGTACCGGTCAAGCTTAATCACGTGACTAAAAGTTTATTTGGTATGAACTATAATTAATTTGTTTCTAAAATATATTATACCTAAAAGTGCTCCAGATAAAGTCAAAATTGATACAGACTCTGGAATTAAAACTGCAGCAATTTTATATAAAACTACGGCAATAATGGCAGCAGGAACTGGGGGAAATACCAATCTTCTCGTGTCAAAAGGCACCTAAAAAATTAAATTATTTATTTGATATTATGTAGTAAGGATCACGAGAGTTTCACTCGCGTTTTGACTTTTTACACATCGCGTATGAATGTCATTTTAATAGAAATATTTCCTACAGTAGATACAAATGCGGCGTTATAATAGCTTTTGGAATTAATTTTTTGGTTTTATTTACAATGATTCTTATATATCTTTTCGATATTCGATAGTACCGAATTATTACGTTAAAATATACCGTATGATTGAATAAAAACGGCGTCAGCAATGGCTATGAAATGAAGATCGCTGTCATTTTATATGTAAAATTATATGGGAAATGTCATCGATCGTCATTTCCAAGCCAACTGGACGCCGTTTTTTTTTCGATCATACGGTACTAATTACACTAACTTAATAATAAACAATATGCTACAAATAGTAAATAGAAATGGGTAAAATAATTTTCGAAATCAATTTTTAATTATTAATAGTATCTAAAAAATATGTTTCATTACTTTGTGATGCAATCCATGAATTGCAAAGTGTAAATAGATCATAACTTTGGATTTTCCCGAAGGCTCCATATGGAAAACCCATCTGTGGAGGGAGTATTCTAGAAAACTCCATAATATAATTCCTAAACCTATATGTAAGACTATGTTGGCAGTGGGTGATGGATCTGAAATAATATAATATTATTTAGAAATTTACATTTACTATGTATCTCATTCTATCTACTGTATGTTTGAAAAAAAAACTATGATTTTTTTTTCGATTGTCTAGCAATTTGTTAATAATAATTTATGTTTTTAATCAAGTATAAAGTCAAAAGTATACTATACAAGATGTCCCAGAAATAAGTGCATGTATTTTAAGGGGTGGTAGATCTCGATAAGAGAAACATATTTTCTCTTTATCGTCTTTTAAATAAGTCCAAAATAACGAAGTTATTTTACTTTGAAAATTTCCAAAAAAAATGATTTTTTGCTAAAATTTTGACAACCACTGAATCTTTTCTGGATTTTCTTTCTTGTAAATTTAATATAATACCTATGCTGCCATATTATCAAGAAATTATGTTTTTTAACTAAAAACTAAAAAAAAATCCTTAAATTTTTTCAAAAAATTTCGAATTTTCAATTTTTTTTTTGCGAAAAAAACATCATAGGCGTGTTTCTCGGATTGGACTACACTACCAGTTAAAATACTTGCACTTATTTCAGGGACACCCTGTATATATTATTTTAAATAACCAATTTTTTTAATGATATATTTATTCAAAGAAGGAAATATTCTGATAAATATAATGAATAATTTGTTTTTATTAATAATCTATTATTTTTCTAGAAGACTAAATACTCACTATGCGTAGATTTTATATATCTCTCGGATCCATATATAATTAAATAACTTATCACTGGTATCCATATTAAGGGCACAACATACCAAGGTGTGATTGTTAAGTTCTCTAACATTGGATTGCCGAACAGCCGTAGTTCTCTGTCGACAGGCGATATAACCCATTCTTTATAATTAATCCCTAGATTTCCTACTTGACTCAGCATGGGTTCATTCCAATTTACGAGTTTCTAAAAATATATCTCTTAATATACAAAAAAACTAAATTAGAGTTGTCTAATTATTGTAATATAGATAATTTTATGAATAAAAATTAGCTAAAAACAATAGTCTAATAACGTATGATCGAAAAAAATTGCATCCAGTTGGCTGGGAAATGATGATCGATGAAATATCATCGATCATCATTCTGCGTGAATCATCAATTTACGGGAAATGTCCCAAATTCAACTTTACATATAAAATGTAGCGATCTTTATTTCATAGCCATCGCTGACGCCGTTTTTTTTTCGATCATACGGTACTATCGTTGATTTAAGAAATAAGAAGATGCGCAACCTTATGAGCGATTTCGTGGCACAAAACCTGTCCGAGATGTAGTTGGCATTACCGTCAGTCTGTCCGAGATTTAAGATTTAGTTTAGCTCTGCCCCGCTGCGCGCTGATAGTTGTTTACAGCGCAGCCGATAAAGAATACTGTACTGTAGTTGTATTTTCAGTCGACAGAGTGAGTGGTTGCCGGACATGTTGTTGCCAGAACTACTCATAAATTTTTACTCGTAGATTTACGGATTTTGGGTACAGTACGTTAATAATACGGATTTTCAATTTATTAAACAATTTAATATTATATGATTAAACAAAGAACGGCAATCTCAGAAACAATACAGGTGGGTCTTCATTAAGTGCAAATATTTCTTTGGTGTGGTATATTTCTACCCCGGAAACAGATCTAAGATGTTTTCTCGCGAAATTTTTTTTGAAAAATTTTGAATTTTTTGAAAACATTTTTGGAGATGTTTTTTTAATTTTTAGTTAAGAACATAAAATCTTAATAATATGGCAACATAGGTAGTAGATTAAATATACAAGAAAGAAAACCCAGAAAAGATCCAGCGATACTCAAAATGTAGGCCAAAGTTATATTTTTTTTAAATTTTCGAAGTAAAATATCTCGGTTAATTTGGACTTGTTTGAAAACAAAAAAATCAAGAGAATAATTGATTTTTTATTTGGGACACCCTCTATATTTTTAATTAACTGAAAAGAATTTAAAATTACCTTTCCAAAAATACAGCACACTTGTCAAACACTTGATATTTTGTTATAATCCCCTTCGAAATACAGAATTTTTAAAAGTTCGCCACTTTTAACTAGTAGGCTTTGGACCCCTTATTGATGATATGCCCTTAATGGAACTCGAAAACTTATTTTTCCAGCAAGACGACACACCGCCTCTGAACGCTGAAGTTATCAGCAAATTTTTGCAGCTAATTTCAAGAATAATTGAATAGCTAACCAAAATCCCAGCCGTTACTTAGTGCCCATGGATCTAATCCTATGAATATATTTGCGGAAGAATAAAGGTTCCTTATTCTTCCGTATAATCTAGACAAGAATTAAAAATACTTAGGAGTTAAAAGAGGGTATTGTTCACCTCTACTGAGTTAATGAATTCCGCGAGAAATGTTCAAAAACTGCCCCGTCTGTCCATAAACAGAAGACGGTCGATATGTCGAACACTTGTAGCAAAATCTCGTGTCTTGGTTTGCTATTTATTTTTATTGTTATTACAGTTCGTCTGCTGGATCTGTGTCTATGAAAGGAATGCGGACAAAAAACATTTAAATAAACAGCAATATATTTTAGACGTCGACTTGAAGAGTACGTCACCGCAAATCGCTCCGTCCACTTATTTTATTGGCTACTTGCAAATTTGTCGAATTTTTATTGATGGGACGCGTCGTCTAATTTTTTACGAAAAACATCGAGAGAATATCGTTTCCTCTCTCACGGATACCCCGTAGCCACAGAACGGACAGACGTACTGTAGATATAGTTTAAATATGTTGATGTTGGTTAAATATATTTTAAATTGCTATAAAATTCTGCATCTCTTATAGCAAATATTATTTTCGTTTTAATTGATGCTCACAGCTAGAATTTTTTTGCATTACAGCCGGTGCCGTTCAAAGCCTACTTATTTAAAGCGGGCGAATTTTTATATACTCGATATCTCGAAGAGGAATCGAGTAAAATATCAAGTGTGTTATATTTTTGGAAAGGTAATTTTAAATTATTTTCAATAAATTAAAAATATACAGGGTGTCCCATATAAAAAATCAAATTTTCTGTTGATAATTCTTAAATTATTAATTTAAAAAAAAATTATACTTAAACCATTAAATTCTACTTAAAAAAGTGCTTTGGAAATGTTTTCATAAAAATCTAAAATTTTCCATAGCAAAAAAGTTACAGCGATTTGTTAAAAATGCATATTTTTGAAAAACACCCCGTAACTCCGAAACGGTAACAGATATAGATATGCGGTTTTCACCTTCATGTTTTTGACAAAAAATGAGCTCCAAACACCGATATTAGTTTTTGTCTATCTCCTATATAAAAGGGTGTTTTCATTTAAAAGCGTCGAATTTGACCCACCCTGTACAGTTCATACCAAATAAACTTTTAGCCACATGATTAAGCTTGACCGGTACAGCGTTGCCCACTTTTATATATTTTCTTTTATCAAAATATTTTAGGAAACAACTTTTATCAAAATATTTTGGGGACGCGGGACTTTTGGATCAAAATCGGTACTGTCCCGACCAAATCTGGATGGGTGGCAACCCTGCCGCTTTCTCGTTCAAGATATTCTAGTAAGTTGCGATCATAGACAAACTAACAAAAGCAAGACTTTTCAAAGGATTGAGGAAGTCGAATTATTGTTTTTGCGCTGGCCAGTTGAGTCAGAAATCATCGCGCAGTCGCACTCGTCAAACCTAACCTAAATAAAACGAAAAACGTTTTTGCCTTGAACCATCCTTGAACGAACTGTTGAATTCCTGATTTTGCGTTTTGTTTGGTTATTACTATTATTTTATTAGCGTACAAAACGAAAACAAATAATTTAATACATTTTCCATTTATGAAGAACATAATAATTACTGTGATTATACATATTATTGTGATTACATCGCTAACGTAGACAAAACGAAGGTCCTACAAATTGACTGTAAGTTATAAGAATCTTTATCTTTTTAATCTTTTTATGATTTGAATTTTCGTGCTTTATATTTTATAATAGACTCGAAATGTTAATATTTTTGCAAATTCTTGTGAAAATGTGAAGTTTATGTTTTTGTTTTATATTTGAAAAAGTTTTATATTTTTAAGATGTTTCTTGTTGTTCCTATTATTAATATTATAATATACATAATTATTTTTTTGTACCTTTTGAAGAATAATGCTTTTATTTCGTTTACCATAACTGTTTTTTTTATCATCTTTTTTGTTATTTTAATAAGAGAAATACGTTTTCGTTTATTTAACTTTTGTTTTTATATCTGTTATGTCCAGAAATTATTGTTTATTTTACCGATGGAAATAAATTTATTTGATTTTAATAAACGCTTTTTAATTAAACATCCTTGTCTAAAAGGCTACTACAAAATACACAATCCATAAGTAAACCGTCCTCGTCTAAAAGGCCAGTTGACGCAAGCGCGGTAATAAACTCTTATCAAACTTGTTACCGTTTTGCAGTACAGCGTTGACGCGTCTTGCTTTTGTTAGTTTGTCTATGGTTGCGATGAGTTTTTTACGGCTATTAATCTATCTTGTACCACTTCACACTAAAATATGTTCTAAAAAGAACAATGTTCGACTGCAAGGTCTGCTAGTAAACATTAGTAAACAAGTATCACAACACTATTTATTTAAATCAAATACAAAACTAAAGTGTCAAAACGAATGACAATGTCAGGAAATAAATAAATAAATCAACCAAATTTGACATTTTTATAGCCTTGAGAGTTACCACCTGTATCCCCAGCGCGAAACGTAAATTCCGGTTAGTCTGTAAACATGGCAACAATGAATTTATAAATCGCGCCCTCGATTATGTAACTAAAAGTTTAATTGGTATGAAATATATATACATCAGCATCACTTGTACGTATGAAAACACGTATAAAACAGGATATTTTCACTATAAAATATTTCAAAAATCAAAGTTATATACATCGGCATCAGTAGTACGTATTACATGTATTTAAGAGAACGAAAGAATGTAATAGCATAGTGTTCCTCGTGATGAATGATAATTTATTAAAGTAATTAAAGATATGAAACTCTACTAACTTCTAAGTCTTCGTCATCTTGTCCCTTACTCGTTCTTTTACCATTCTTGTTATATTCTTGGAATAAATAATATGCCGCTTTGGAGTGTTTGGTGTCTTGCATCCGTTTGGAAACATCTTTTTCCTTGTAGGGCTTTAAATAATTAATTCCCCCTGGGTGATTGTTTAAAAAACCATATATGTTATATTCTTCTTTGTCGTGTCGCACATCAAAGGAGCCATTTTCTTTCATTTTCCTGCGGAAAAAAATATAATTCTGTTTACTTTCTGCTTGTTATATGTTGTTGGACTGAATTTCGATCCGAAAAAAAAAACGAAGAGCATAATTGGATATAAACAAAGACAGATGTAAAAAAATATAATTCAATGACAGTGTTTGTGCTTTATTTAAATATTGTTATTAATGTGACAAGGCACAGTTTTTGTACGAATTTCCTGATGTTTGACGAACTTGCGGTAATAAATTGCTTTTTAAAAAATTATAGATGCATGCGATCAGCCAATCGATCTATAGGGTACACCGTAAATTATCTAAAAGTATTCTGTATAACTTTTGTAAACCATACAGTGCGTTACATTTTAGAGAGGGTCTTATTTTTATTTCCATTTCTATATGAATTTTGTTGTTGTTAAACTTTCTTGAAAAGTTGTTATTGCAATATAATAAAGTGATGAATGCCAGCCATTTTTGGTCAAAACAACATCACACTTAGTGGTCAGAGGCTGGAGTTACATGTAGGGAACTACAGTATGTCCCTGGATTGCAAGAGGAAACACTTTTTTATTATTGCCATTTTGGGAGAAATGCATTCTTCATAAAAAAATTTATTTGCTCTAAAATGGTTAATACCGTTAATACTTTTCCAAATTTCCATACCGTTTTAGAGGAAATGAAAAAACATGAAAATATGGTTGATTTTTTTTCAAATCTTTTTCAAATTTTTATAAAACTTTTTGCATTGTATTGTTAATAAGATATATTAAAAAGTTTATAAAAACACATATACAAATGCATACATTACAAGATGGCTCCGTATTCCGGAAAAGCTCTGTATCAGGATTCCTATTTGAAATTTTCACTCCAAACCTTTTACAAAATATGTGGTTAATGGTAGTTCACATTTCAAAAATATTTTTATAGATATACAGGGTGAGTCAAATATATATCTATATTTGTTAGTTCAGTGAATTTCCTATAAAATTCCGGTTCCAAAAATACCTTAATACCAATTATGACCACGTCCATAAGGACGCCAATTTAAACGTCTAAGAACCTTCGTTTGAGAACTTCTAGTCGAGACAATCGACTTATTGTAAGTTTATCGCTAAGAAACCGCCGTTTATCAGCATTTCAAATTGATAATGAATTGCACTTAAGGAACGTACATATTAACTAACGGACTATAAGAAGAAGATTAAATGAAGAAAATCTTATGTCAAGAAGGCCTACTTCGGGACCAGAACTTACTAGATGTGTTGACTAGGCCCAAAAGCAAAGGTATGGTCTTAATGTAAAAATTACGAAAAAATGTTAGTGTCTTCTTCAAAAGCGAATATTTCCAACAAAAATCAAGCTAATGAGATAACCAAAAACAAACCATCGAGAAAGGATGTATCTAGATGATAAAATTATTTTTAAATTTCTTGCTGTTTTAACATATTCCACAGGGTGTTTTAAACTTTCACCAAAATATCAGCATTTTGTTTTCCCTCGTATAATTAACAGATGGGGAGTTTCATTAAGAAATTTCATTTAATTTAGAAAAATATACTAAAAAGTCAAATAATTTGGCTACACACTGCTTAAAAAATCATCAAAATCGGCCCATTAAAACAAAATATATTAACCTTTAAAATACATCAAAGTTTTAATTAAGGTGCCCAATTTCGTGCCGGTGAATGTATTTCAAAAACTATACATTTTAGTTACATACTTTTCTAATGAAACAAACCTTTATTTTTTTACTAGAATCCAAAAATCAGCTAATATATATAGGGTGTTCCATTACAAAAAACATAACTTTGATGTGTAACTTTTTTTGGGGACACCCTGTAGAAGAAAATGCTTTAAATTGACTTACATAAGCTAACAAAATTTCATTTCAATACAAAGTTTTGTTCTCCTTGCCAAAACCGCGTCGTATATGACGCGCAACCCTGTATAATTCGATTTCACTCAAAATTTCAATGATTAGAATATAAGCAGAATAGGTATAGCTTATGCATTAGATTTATTTATTTCTATTATAAATTTACGTAGAAAAGGAATTAAAAAAATAAAAAATTAAGAAGAAAATAATTAAGAATTTACTAAAATAAAAAATTAAAAGCAACAAAAAAAAGTGGGTAAACATTTTAGTATTTTATCTATAAAACACAATACAGAAGATTTCACATTCATACATTCACAGTAATTGAATTCCGAGGTAAAAGTCTCTGGGCACTCCACTATAAAACGGTATGGAAATTTGGAATAGTATAAACGGGATTAACTATTTTAGAACAAGTAAAACATTTATGATGAATGCATTTTTCTCAAAATGTCAACGATAAAAAAGTTTTTCCTCTTGTAAAGACAATCCGGGGACATACTGTATATTAGAAAAAACAAAAATTTAAATAAGTCTGTTTTTATTCGGAATACAGTAACCAAACATTGACGTTTTTAAAACCTCTTGTATAAAAAATCAATGCAGAAGCCCTTATATGGTGCAATATTACGGGCGAATTATATTTTTTTTCAGGATGTGACACTGTCAAAAACAACATTTTTTTGAAAATTTTAACGTCCTCTGTTAAACCAACCTTTTTTTAGCCATACGCGGATATGAGATTTTTCCTTAAATAAGTTTTTAGTAAGTGTTAATGTTAGCTATGTCCTGGTAGCAAATACGGGAGCATCGTGTATATCTGAAAAGTCCAAGTGCAAATTCTCTCAGAAAGGTATTTAGCTGGCATCTTATTTTTTAATTAATTAATTTAACCTTGCATTAATTTAAAATAATTGATTATGTATTATTATGCTCGTGATATTGATGTAATTATTACTAGTTATATTATTTTGCAGAATTTAAACAATTTTGTAAATCTTACTCAAGGATGTATAAATTTAGATTTTATCATATACACCGCATATTACATTTATAAGGGAAACCATAAATAGATTTAAGTTGTTTAACAAATCTGATATTTTCAGTTCATTTTATTGCAAGTTAGTATGTTAGATTTAAACAATATATTATTTTACTAGCGTGTACTCAACGCGAACGAAGTCGCGGGTATTATTAATTGGGTATTTGGGTATTATTATTAATAATTTGTAATGGTGATGATAAAGCAAAGCAAGAATTTCCATTAACATACAAACTGGATAAAAGTTTCTCACATTTATGTCAGCATGAGAAAAAACAATATGGCGATATTATTATATAACTTGATAATATTTGAGGGGTAGTTTCATCTCGTTGGAATTTGACTTTCGAAAAATCCGTTTGCCAAAAATAAGCTTTTTACGTCAAGCAGTTTAAGCAGAATCGTGGTTTGGTCAATTAATCAATTACTCAACTTTTTGGAACACCCTGTATGATTTTTTAGAAAATTTAAAAAAATTTAAAAAAACAAAATAAATTATGCGTGTCCAAGCGTTTTCCCGAAAGACTAACCGTTTTTTAAATAACAAATATTGTAATATTTGAAGGACGTTTTCACCCTCTTGGAATTTGAGATTCGAGAAACCCCTCCTCATCGAACCTCTACATCCCACAGTCAATCCGTTTGCCAAAAATCAGCTTTAAACGTCAAGCAGTTTAAGCAGAATTGTGATTACTTAATGGCCATATTTTATAAAACACCTTGTATAAATTCTTAAAAAATCTTAAAATATATAAAACAACAAATTAAAATATACATGTTTAAGAGTTTTTCCGAAAAATTCACCGGTTTTTAAATAAAAAAAAATATTCTATTATTTGAGGAGTGGTTTCACCCCCTTAGAATTCGAGTTTCAAAAAATCCCTTCTTATCGAACCTCTACACCCTAAAGTCAATCCGTTTTCCAAAAATCAGCTTTTTACGTCAAGCTCTTTAACCTTGTTTATATTACAAGTACTTTAAGCAGGATCGTGATTTTGACAATGACCAGATTTTTCGAAACACCCTGTATACATTTTTAAAAAATCTTAAAATATGTAAAAAAAGAATATAAAATATACGTGTTTAAGCGTTAATATTGTAATATTCCACCCCCCTTTTTCCCCCTTAGGGGATGAATTTTAAAAAATCCTTTCTTATCTCACGTAATACATAAAAGGAACAAAAATGTGCCCCTGTGCAAAATTTTAGCTTTCTAGGGTCAAGGATTTGGTCTGGGCGTTGATGAGTCAGTGATGAATCAGGACATCATTTAGTATCATCCACGCAATTAGATTTGTGGCAAGTATTTTCTAATTGCATGGATGATTTTTGTCAACTTACTTGTGAGATATTTCTTATACTATTAACTTTGACCACTAACTAACAAGATTTCCTTCGCTATATTTATTTTTTAGTAGAAAAATTGCCTCACATTTTAGCTATCAGTTAAAAATATACAGGGTTGTTCACGCTATTCGACACGGAGTATTGTAGCCAACTGATTACATTTGTGGAAATTATGAGTGATGGGATTGTTGATGGACCACTAAAGCTACACTTTAAAATTATTTGCAAAACGTACAGAGTGTCCCAAATAAATAAAAAATATCAAAGTTTTATTTTTTTAAATGGAACACTCTGTATATTATTATATTTTTAGTTTGTACGATTAAAATAAACGTAATTTAATTAAGAGTTACCGCACTTTAATCTTTCCGTTTTTGAAATATTTACGGTTTTGTGAAAAAGCAATAACAATTTTAATGCCTATATTTCTCTAGATATATTTATGTTTTTAAAACCAAATATTGTACTGAAGTTTTTGTATTTACTAGATTTTGTGTTGCAATAATAAAAATAATACTACCTCATACAGAGTGTCTATAAATTTATTTTAAATAATTATTAGCTTTAAACTGTAATAACTTGTTTAATTTAAATGGACCTGTATATACCCTGTATATTTTACGTGAATCACATGAGGATGAGGTACTGTATGCAAAATTTTATGCTATATCCAATAATGTAAAGAAAAATTGGTGGTAAAATTTAAAAAAAATTAAAGCTTTATCATAATTTTTCTCGGGACACCCTGTATACAACA